ATAGAGACAGAAAGCAAGAAATCACCCCCCAGGGGGGATGGTCACGGCGCAATCCCTTCTCCTCCATTCTCCTCTTGGGATCTTGGGCATGCACGCACATGTGCCCGGCGTGAGTTTTAAGCCACCGGGTCTGGGACGCGAACCGCGGTCGACTACGTGGGAATCCAATGACATAGCCATTACGCCAACTGCTGGTTCCCAAGAGCTTGTTTTTATAGCTCGTCTTGTCTGTAATTCTTTGGAAATTATACTTATAATTTATAATTATAATATAAATTGAAATTATTCCCTTCATCCATCAGTAGCTATTTACTGAGCACCCACTGTGGTACTAGTACCTGGGATATTTCAGGGAACCAACAGTTAAAGATATTTGCCCCTGTGCTTTTTTCTAGCACAAGGTGACACATAAAGGACAAGACAAATTACTAAGTTACATAATATGTTGTAAAAATAATTTAGTTAAAATTTTTTTGTTTTATATTTTATTTAATTTTTAAAATTTACTTATTTATTTTAATCTGACCAGAGAGGGACAGAGTGAGAGAAGGGGAAAGTGAGAAAGCAAGCCGCCAGGTCCGGATCTCCAACAGCGGTGTGGGGCCCAGCACCCTTAATTTCCCTTCTCCTCCATTTCTCCTCCCTTTCCAAATGTTGACCTTGTACACACATGAACCTGGCATGTTTTCCAAACAGCTGGGCCCAGGACTCGAACTGTACCATTGGCCATGTGGGATCTGGCTATCCTTATTGCCATGCCACAGGCAGGCCCTATTATGTTCTCTTTTACGGGAATTAGGAATCTGTTGGTTAACGATTGCCTTCTAAATCTCACATAGTCTCTATAATTATTTTTGTCCTTTGTAGTTTAAAAAATCTTTTGTATATGTGTAGTGTTCTCTAAGGCTAGGATCTCAGTCAGACCCCTTCTATTATTTTTTAAAAGCTTTTCCCTGTAATATTTTTATCCTTCTCTTCCATTTCTAGACTGAGTTATGCCAACTTGCTTTTCAACACAATCTCTTACTTGAGGAGCTTGTTTTTATTTTTTTAAAAATATTTACTTTTTTAACTTCACTTGCTGTTATTATTTTTTTAACTTGATCAGAAACAGAGCAAGAGAGAAAGGGAAAGCAAGGAAGCAAGCTGTCAGGTCCGGGTCTTGAACCATGGTCGGCCATGTGGGAGTCCAGTGCCTTTAACCACCACGCCACCTGCCAGATCCAAAGAGCTTGTTTTTCTTTTCTTTTCTTTCTTTTTTTTTTTTTTTTTTGGAGAGGTTTTCACTATAGGGTGTGTGCGCTCATCAGACAGACAGAGAGAGACATAGAGACAGAAAGCAAGAAATCACCCCCCAGGGGGGATGGTCACGGCGCAATCCCTTCTCCTCCATTCTCCTCTTGGGATCTTGGGCATGCACGCACATGTGCCCGGCGTGAGTTTTAAGCCACCGGGTCTGGGACGCGAACCGCGGTCGACTACGTGGGAATCCAATGACATAGCCATTACGCCAACTGCTGGTTCCCAAGAGCTTGTTTTTATAGCTCGTCTTGTCTGTAATTCTTTGGAAATTATACTTATAATTTATAATTATAATATAAATTGAAATTATTCCCTTCATCCATCAGTAGCTATTTACTGAGCACCCACTGTGGTACTAGTACCTGGGATATTTCAGGGAACCAACAGTTAAAGATATTTGCCCCTGTGCTTTTTTCTAGCACAAGGTGACACATAAAGGACAAGACAAATTACTAAGTTACATAATATGTTGTAAAAATAATTTAGTTAAAATTTTTTTGTTTTATATTTTATTTAATTTTTAAAATTTACTTATTTATTTTAATCTGACCAGAGAGGGACAGAGTGAGAGAAGGGGAAAGTGAGAAAGCAAGCCGCCAGGTCCGGATCTCCAACAGCGGTGTGGGGCCCAGCACCCTTAATTTCCCTTCTCCTCCATTTCTCCTCCCTTTCCAAATGTTGACCTTGTACACACATGAACCTGGCATGTTTTCCAAACAGCTGGGCCCAGGACTCGAACTGTACCATTGGCCATGTGGGATCTGGCTATCCTTATTGCCATGCCACAGGCAGGCCCACCCTGCCTGCTGGCCCCAGTAAGTATAACTTAGAGAAAGCTAAAGCTAAGGCAGGGTGGCTGTGCGGTGAGTGGTGACGTGCTGCTCAAGGAAGCCCGATGCCACGTGGTGACTGCCTGGCCATGTGTGCAAGTGCCCAAGCCCCAGTGGACTGGAGGAAGAACATAGGGTGACCAGATCCTGTGGAGGCTGCTTGTCTCTTTCCCACTTTTGCGTGCATACATATGTGCTCAGTATTTTAAAAGAAAACAAATGATTTTTTAAAATAATTATTTATTTAATTCATTATTATTATTATTTGATGAGAGGAAGAAAGACAGAGAAAGCAAGCCAGCAGATCTGGGACTTGAACCATGGTTGGCCATATGGGAGCCCAGCACATTAACCACCATGCCACTTACTGGCCTCACAAAATTTTTTTTTAAAGGTAGGGACCAGCAGGTTGCATGATTAAGGTGCTGGATTCTCACATGGCTGACCCTGGTTTAAGTCCTGGACCCAGTGGCTTAATATGTGTGTGTGTGTGTGTGTGTGTGTGTGTGTGTGTGTACCCCAAACCCCAGGAGGAGAATGAAAGAGAAGGGATTGTAGTGTAGTCAACCCCCCAAGGGGTGATTTCTCACTTTCTCTCTCTCCGTCTCTCTGGTAAGTGTACACACCGTATGACAAAAACCTACAAAAAATAAAAAAATAAAAAGGTAAAGTGTCAGAAAGTGATTTTTTTTTTTTTGGAGAGGATTTTGCTATAGAACATGTGCATTCACCGGAAAGACAGACAGAGAGAGAGAGAGACAAAAAGCGAGAAATCACCCCACAAGGGAGATGGCCAGGTTGCAGTATCTTCTACTCTATTATCTTCTTGGGATTTGGGGCATACACACACATGCATCCATCTTGATTATTAAGCCACTGAGTCCAGGCCTTGAACTGCGGTCAACTATATGGGAGTCCAGTGACATAACCATTACGCCATCTGCAAGGTTGTGATTTTTAAATAAGGTTGTAAGAATTAGTCTCATTGGGAAAGTGACATTTGAGCAAAGGCCTTTAAGGACTGAAGAGGTAAAGAATGGGGAGGGAATGGTGGGTGTGAAAGCCCTTTGTGGAAGCCGCCAGCAGGTTAAACAACAGGCCAAGGGAGGACAAGGCAGAATGACCGGAAGAGGGAGGAAGTAGGAAAGGAGACGAGACAGTTCGTAGGAACCTCCAGGCTGTTGTAATGACTATGGAAACGGGGGTCACTGCAAGGTTTTGAGCAGGCCTCATTTCTGTGCTCTTGGTAAGACTCACCTGTAGGTTGGAAAGTGAAGCAGCAAGATGGGTCTTCCATGTCTCCCGCATGTAAGGTGACTGGCTCTCTGCAAAACGAAGAATGGTAATGTGGCATTCCACTCACAAACGTAGTGCTAGGGTTTATGGACAGACACAAGCTAGCACAGGTGAACATGATGGCTTTAAATATAAACTCAAGGTGGCAAACACAGCCCCCTGAATTGCACAGGTCCTAAAATGCCCTAGGAGGAAGAATCAACATTTATAATTTCATTAAAAATTAAATTTTGCAGGACCAGCACATGGCGGAATGGTTACATTGCTGGACTCCCATGTAGTTGACCATAGTTCAAGTCCTGGACCCAGTGGCTTAAAACTCACACCGGGTATGTGTGCATGCATGCCCAAAATCCAGAGAGGAGAATGGAGAAGGGACTGCCATGTGGCCATCCCCCCTGAGGAGTGACTCTTCCTTTCTGTCTCTCTGTCTCTCTGTCTCTCTGGCAAGTGCCTGCACCCTATAGCAAAAGTCTATACCCATGAACACTTTGCAGAATGAAAATATAATCACAAATAATCTTGTTTACAAAATTAATTTTTGTGTAATAATAGATAAAAAACTCAAATCATTGTTTACAAAATTAATTTTTGTGTAATAGCTAAAAAACTCAAATCACTGGGGTCAGCAGGTGGTGTGGAAGTTAAGGCACTGGACCTCACGTGGCCAACCAAGTTTCGAAGCCTAGACCTGGTGGCCTGAAAATCACACCGGGTGCGTGTGCCCAAAATCCCAAGAGGAGAAAGAAGGAGAAGGGATTGAAGTGTGGCCATTCCACTTGCTGGGCACGAGGGAATGATTTCTCACTTTCCTTCCCTCTGTCTCTCTGGCAAGCACAAAAGCACTATGGCAAAACCAAACCAAAACAACAACAAAAAACGCAAATCATAGATTCTCAGAGATGCAATCCTAATGACTTCCTTAAAATGAAGAAACGAAGACAATGTCATCATCAGCATTAGTCGCATCAGTTTACTGCAAGACCTACTTGAATCAGTACACTGAAGTAAACCACAAGTTCTCTGTGTACCAGTATGAAAATATTACAGCAGCAGCTCTCGAAGTGGCTGCCTCCCAGGGGGTTTGCGAGGTCAAAAGTACCATCACTGTGATACTAAAAAGTCACTTGCTTGTAACTCTCAGCTCTCAAAGTGCACAGCAGAGCTCCCCAGAGGCGACATGGCAGCTGATGCCAGCGCAGACCGCATGCACACCCGGCTACGCGAGCCCAGGTGTTTGTTACTAGGCCAGCATTAAGTGGAAAAATAACGCCTTCCCGATGATTTCTTTGGAGAATGCAGTTATTTTTTTGTGATAAAATATAGCACTATGTATCTGCACTGCTGAAGGAGGCAGAGGCTCTGGTCATGAGGTTATCTCAGGGAAGCATCTCCTCTCTGCCCCATGGGCTGCACTCCTTCCCCTGGCTCAGGGTGGAACAGAGCAGCACAGAGCAGAGCAGGGGTTACAACATGAGCTCAGGAGCCAGCCAGGCCAGATTCCATATGAGTGACAGGGCATGTGCATTCGCTGGAGAGAGAGAGAGAGTGTGAGAGATCACCCCCTGGGGAGAACGGCCACACTGCAATCTCTTCTTCTCCATTCTTTTGGGATTTGGGGTACACACGCAGCTGGGCATGTAGGATCCAACTGCCTTAACCTCCGTGCCAACTGCTGTCCCTAAAGTTCTTTTTTTTTTTTTCATGAGAGAGAGACAGAGACAGACACAGAGACCACACCCTGGCAGGGCATTGACATCACAGTCCACTCCCAGACCCTCCCAGCCAACCCCAGATCATGGACACATGTGTGCCACGTACACTTAGGGAGGTTTCCTGAACGCAGACCCAGAACCTTTCCATGTGGGTCAGCCTCACCGAGTGTGGTGCATGCATTTATTTATTTATTTAGCCACAGGGTGTGTGCGCTCACCAGAGAGGAGAGAGACAGAGAGAGGGAAAGTGAGAAACCACCCCCGGTGGGGAGGGCCACACCACGATCCCTTCTCCTCTATTCTCTTCTTGGGATTTTGCACATGGGCCCAGTGTGATATTCAAGTCACCAGTCCGGGACTGAACTGTGGTTAGTCATATAGGAATCCAGTCGCCTTAACCACCATACCACCTGCTGACTCCCCACAGAGTGAAGCATTTTGCCACTGAGCCACTGCCTGGCTCCACAAAGAGATTCAGGAAGATTCCAGTCCACTCTGTGGTGATCAGGGAGTAGAGACGGTGAGTGCCCGTTGCCATGTCACACCAGGTGGTTCACCAGACATGTGACTGAATGGCTGGGGTGGGGGTGGGGGTAGGCGTGGCGCTGAGACACAAGGAATAATCTCCTAACTGGAATCCATGTACTTATTTACAGCTTAACAACAGCCACTTAATGTCTCCGAAGTTTTTGTGGGTCAGGAATCTGGACACATCTTGCTGGTTGGTTTTGGCTCAGGGTCAATTGGAGGTCACAGTTGTGTTGGCCTGGGCTGTGGCCATGCAAAAGCTAGACACAACTGAAGGATCACCTCCATGCCAGCTCAGTCACATGGCCTGTTGCTGGAGGCCTCAGTTCCGCACTACGTGGACCTCTCCGTAGGGGGCTGCCTGCCTCTACTCCTGACACAGCAGCCGACTGCCCCAGAGGAAGTGGTTCAAGACAGAGTAAAGCAGGAGCCAAACCGCTTTTGAAGACCTTGCCATGGGAGTCAACACTGTTATCTCTGCAGTAACCTAAGGGCTACCCAAGTCGGCCCTCATCATCGGAGAAGGGACGACATAGGTGTGTGAACATCAAGAGGGAAGATATTTGGGAGATTTCGTGGAGGCTGGATACAACAGGAGGTAACCCAGAGGCTGGCAATAATGCAAGCTCAGAGTAGTGATGTGTGGGTAACCCTGAATGGACTGTGAACAGCACAACTCATTTTCATATAGTAAAGATAGAAAGAAGTTTCAGCTATCTCTATTTTTATTGGTGGTAAAAGGAGAAAAGAAGGGCCAGCAGGTGGCATGAAGGTTAAGGTGGCTAGATTCCATATGGTTGACTACACGGTTCGAGTCCCAGACCAGCAGCCTGGAAAACACAATGGGAACATGTGAGTGCATGCCCAAAATCCAGAGAGGAGAATGGAGGAGAAGGGATTGTGGGGTGGCTATCCTTCCTGGGGAGTGATTGCTCTCTCTCTCTATCTTTCTCTCTCTCCCTCTCTCGTTTGCTTCTTTCTTCAGAGAATACATGAATCCTACAGCAAAAACTACAAAAAAAAAAAAAATCTCCCAGGCAGTCAGTCTCTAGACGGACCTCACGACTGTAAGCAGCTCGAGGACGGCCTGTATCTGTCTTGCTCTGACTATATCCCAAGGGCCTCAGTACGTGGTGGACCCAGGCAGTTAGCAATCTCTTGAACTAATGGATGACCAGTAGTAAAATAGGTATTTTGAAAGCTGAGAGAAGGGAAGGGAGTTTCCTACCTGCTCAGAGTCTCACTTGATTTGCTGCCTTCAGTGGAGTCCCTTAATGAGTTGTTGCTTCTGTTGGTGGAGAGAGGGCAGAAATGAAAACGACACAATGCTGTTCTCTTACCAATGCAACGAAGGCTCGTGAGGGAAATCATTTATTTTTATAGACAGTGGAAGATGCTGTCTGATGGCTTCATAGGTCGAGTGAGCTGGGGGCCTTGGCTCTCACAGGTGATGAGAGTGGGAGTAAAAGCAGAGATTCTTCAGTGTCAGACCGAGGATCACAGGCTTGATCAGCAGGCAGTGAGGAGCCACTGACATCAAGCAACAGCTTGTGTGTCTTATGTGGATTAAACTTAGGGCCAGTAAGTTGCATGGTGGTTAAGGTGGCTGGATCCCACATGACTGACTGCATAGTTCGAGTCCTAGACCCAGTGGCTTGAAAAATACAGTGGGAGCACGTGTGTGCTTGCCCAAGATCTTGAGAGGATTATGAAGAAGAAGGGATTGGAGTGTGGCCATCCCCATTGAGGGGGTGATTTCTCACTTTCCCTCCCCACCACCTTGTGTCTCTCCATGGAAAGCATGTGCCCTATATCAAACAAAACAAAAATAAAACTGTGCGGGCCAGTGGCGTGGTGGTTGAGGCACTGGACTCCCACATAGCTGACATCTGAGTCCCAGACCTGATGGCTTGTTTTCTCAGTCTCCCTCTGCCCTATATCCCTCTGTCAAATTAAAAATAAATTAACTAAATAAGTAAGTCCTTTCTTTCTTTTTCTTCTTCATTCTTTCCTTTTGTTAGAAATTTTTTTTTTTTTTTTTGCTATAGGGCTCATGCATTTGCTGGAGAGATAGAAAGACAGAAAGCAAAAAAGTCATTCCCAAGGAGGATGGCCACGCCACAATCCCTTCTCCTCCATTCTCCTCTCAGGATTTTGAACACACATGTACACGTGCTCAGTGTGAGTGTCTGGCATAAGTTTTAAGCTGCCAAGTCTGAGATTCAAACTGCAGTCGACTACGTGGAAGTCCAGCAACATAACCATTACACCATCTGTGGATCCCGTAAGTAATTCTTTAAAAAAATTTTTTTAAATAAAAACAAAACTGTTCTTTAAAAGAAAACAAAGAGTATTTATTTAATTCTATTTATTATTATTCTTCAATTTAACCAGAGAGAGGTGGAGAGTGAGAATGAGAAAGCAAGCTGCCAGGTCTGGGACTTGAACCTCAGTCAGCCATGTGGGAGACCAGTGTCTCAACTACTACATTACCTGCTGGCCCCAAATAAAAACTGTTCTTTAAAAAAAGTTAATGTAGGGCTGGCGGGTGGCGTGGTGGTTATGGTGTTGGACCTGTAGATGACTGACTGTGGTTCGAATCCTGGACCTGGCAGCTTGCTTTCCCACTTTCGCCTTTTCTCTCTCTGTCTCGCTCTGGTCAAATTAAAAAATAATAATAACAAATTAAATAAAATAAATAAATAATTCTTTTTAAAAAAGTTAATGTTAGTCTTTCTTTATTTTTGGCTTAAGCAAATTTTCAGACATTGTATTTGATTAGGGTCTCCTTTGGGATTATAGGTTTCATTTTGAAATTCTCTTTTAAATTATTCCTTTTAAAAATTCAACCATTCAATTATGATTAAAAAATCGGATTTTAGGGGGGTGAGCAGATGTAGTGGTTACATCGCTGGACTTCCACATGGCTGACCGTGGTTCAAGTCCTGGACCTAGTGGCTTGAAACTCATGCTACGTGCATGTGCGAGTGTACCCAAGATGACAGGAGGAGAACAGAAGAGAAGGGATTGTGACATGGCTATCCCCCTGGGAAGTGATTTCTCACATCCCCTCTCACTGTCTTTGTCTCTCTTTCTAGCAGCATATGCACCCTAAGGCAACGATAAGGTTATTATAATCCCATTTTTGAGGTTGTTATAATTTCCTTCTGGACTATCCTTTTCTTCAAAGTTCTATAAAGCAATATGTAAATATGTATATATATAGAAAAAGTCTTCTATTGTTGGAATGCATTATCATATAGATGACTTCACATCATGGTAATTATCAGCAAAATTTAACGTAAGTTTAAAAAATCCCTATTAAATTGATTTCTTGAAAGTAAATTACTTTATTACATTTCATTGTAATTCTTTTTAGAATCAGTTAAAAACAACGTAACAGTTATCCTTCAATTAACCCAATATGCTTATTAAATGCCATGTAACTAACTGTCCAAATTGACTTCCTAAATTGCCTGGCCACATATAAAATTCTAGGGCGACTAATTTGATTGGAATCTCAGGTTCCTCTTACCTATGGCATATGTCTGACCGCAGGCTTGATTCAGTGATGCAGTCTCTTACCCGTTCATCTCTGTATAGACAAATATAATTCTCAGCTAATTGTATAAAGATCAATTTTCAGATTCCATGTCTTTTAAGAATAATCAATTGGGGGCTGGCAAGTGACATGGTGGTTAAGGGCATTGGACTCCCACAGGGCTGACCACAGTTCAAGTCCTGGACCTGGTAGCTTGCATTCTCACTTTTCCTCTCTCTCCCACTTGCTTGCTCTGTACCTCTCTGGTCAAATTAAAATAAATAAATTAAGTTAAATACAATAATTATTGGGAATAGCGGTTGGTGTAATGGCTGTGTTGCTGGACTCCCATGTAGTCAACTGGGGTCTGAGTCCCAGACCTGATGGCTTAAACTCACGCCGGCACGTGTGCATGCGTGCCCAGGATCCCAAGAGGAGAATGAAGAGAAGGGATTGAGGTGTGGTCATCTCCCCTGAGGGGTGATTTCTCGCTTTCTGTCTCTCTGTCTCTCTGTCTTTCTGGTGAGTGCAAGTTACCCTATAGCAAAAAACCTCTTCCAAAAAAAAAAAAACAATTATTTTTTTTTTAAAAAAAGAAGAATCAATTGCTCAGATGTATTTAGTTTTCTTTTAAGCTACAACTGTAGCTTTTAAGCCTCCAAAAACATTTTGCAAAGGGCTCTCCTTGGAGTTTACCAGCTCAGAAATGCCTTCCTAGAACAGACTCTTAAAAGCTTTAGGAGGAGGGGCCAGCAGATGGTGTAATGGTTACATTGCAGGACTCCCACATAGTTAACTGTGGTTCAAGTCTCGAACCTGGTAGCTTGAAGCTCACACTGAGTGGGGGCCAGCAAGTGGCATATTGGTTAAGGTGCTGGACACTACCATGTGGCCAACCACGGTTGGAGTCCTGGACCTGTTGGCTTACTCTCTCACTTTCTCTCTCTCTCTCTCTCTCTCTGTATGTCTCTCCCTCTCTGGTCAAATTAAAATAAACAAAAGAATAAATAAAATTAAATAAATAATTCTGTTAAAAAATTGTAAAAAAAAAAAACAAATAAAACCTCCCACTGGGCACGTGTGCATGTGTGCCTAAAATACCAATAGAAGAAAAGAGAAGGGATTGCAGTGTGGTCATCACCCCTGGGGGGTGATTTCTTGTTTTCTGTCTCTCTGTCTCTCCAGAGAGTGCATGCACCCTATAGCAAAAATCTCTCTCTAAAAAAATAAAAATGATTATTAATATTAACAATATTAATAACAATTAGGTAAATCCAGCTAATATTTTGATATCTTGGGTCAATATATACCAGTTGAATATCTTAAGGAACTGAAGATTATTTGTATATAAATGATTTCAGAAAGCATTACTTTAGATACTGTCATATAATCAAAAAATTAATATAACAATTAGTTACTACAGTAGTTAAAATATATATTCCATATTCAAATGCTTTTAAAAAAGCTAATCTAAATAACAACAATAAAGTTAAAGAGCACTGTTTGACAACAGGATGAGGATCTCATCGATTTTTCCAGCTGTCTATAGGGAAGGGCCGGGGAGCTGGGTGGGTCCCTTTTGGATGTGCCTCTTACTAACCTGATGAAGGGCCCAGGCATGGGCACCCACAGAACTGAGGCCCTTCCCCTGCGCTCCTCCCTGGAGCAGCAGAGCCCTCAGGGTTCTCACTCTAGCTCCACACTGACCATCGCTGAGGAAAGTGAACCTTTGGGACTTGTGCTTTTCTCCTTGTAAACTGAGACAAACAAACTTCACCCTGCCTTGTCTCACATGATTGCTGTAATAACATGATGGATGTGAAGTCTGTTGGGAATTATAAATTACTATACAGATAAACTTGGGTAACACCTCATGCTCTCCGAACAGGATGACAACGTCAAGTTGTTCTACTTTTGCTCAGATCCTACACTTGCACATTGCTCTCCTTGGTAACTTCAGATATTCAACTTTATTTAAACCCCAACCTCCCTGAGAATCACGGGGGACAACTTAGTGGTAAACTACACGCGAGAGGACCCTTCCCAGCCCTGGTGCACACGGTCTTCCCGGCTACGCACAAGGCTCCCAGGGATGGTGTTCGGCCATCGTTCTCCGTCTTGTTCAGAGGCACTGCCGGCTCCTCGTTGATCACACTTCTCAGCTCCTGGAGAAGCTGTTTCAGGTCCCTTGTTGGATCTTCCTTCAGTGTGTTGGGTTTCATAGAGTGCTGGAATAAAGTTACAAGCCAAGACATATTTTTTTCAGATTCATATGCTATTTCCTACTGGAAAATTAATTCAGCTGGTAAATAGACATTATGGAAGAGTAAGGAGAGGAAAATAAGAATCACCTGTGATCTTAAATACGTAAAGAGAATCAATAATGACCAACCAAAATTCATAGGTTAGTATTCTAATTTATATACACATGTATATATACAGTATGTATTATATATGTGCATATACACACATACTTGTACGGGATCAAACTATACATTTTAAGGTTTTTCAATAACTTGTAAAAAATTTAAATTTGGGGGCCAGCAGGTGGTGTAGTGGCTAAGGCACTGGACTCCCACGTGGGCTGACGTGGTTCGAGTCTGGGACCCAGTGGCTTGAAACTCACTCTGGGTATGTGTTTGTGTGTGTGCCAAATCCTCAGAGGAGAATGGAGGAGAAAGGATCATGGCATGCCCTCCCCCCCAGGTGGGGAGGATTTCTCACTTTCTGTCTCTCTGTATCTCTAGGGAGTACATGTGCCCTATAACAAAAATCTCTCAAAATTTTTTTTTTACTTTTAAGAATTTGGTATAGTAGGCATCCTTACTATGTCATTAAATATTTTTTAGTACAATTCAGGAAAAATTACTTTCTTACTTTATTAGGGTTAAACTGATTTTATAAATTATAGCTACAAAACTTAAGCAGCAAGAAATTCTTTTGAGATAAGTTAATCTATCCCCCAGATCGAAGAGACAACCAGTATTATCAAACTGTTAGCTGGTATTAAAGAATAATATGAGAAAATGTTCACATTAGTATAGATTATTCCCCCATGAATATTTATAACAAGAAGTACAAACATTCCCTGTAGACACATCATGAGGGGAAACCAAATGCTGCAATCCTTTCACCTTCATTTCTCTCTCCTCTCAAGGTGTTGGGCACCTACACATATGTGCCTGGCAAGTTTTTCAGGCCTCTGGTTCTGGGACTTGAACCACGCAGTTGGCCTTGAGGGATCCCACCACCTTAACCCCTGTGCCACTGGCTGGCTGAGGCTTCACAGTTGCTAAGCTGGCGCTGCACAGGAGGTCTAGTACGTGCTTCAGGATGTCCAGGCCTTGTTTCCGGCCCTGGCCCTTAGGTCAAACTGAGGTAGAGGCTTCCGTGTTTGTGTATTCTACTTTGCCCCAGATTTTTAACCATTTGATATACCATGAGCATTTTCCCACTAAACATAGGTTAAAAACGTAACTGTTAATGCTGCATCGTCATTTCCTAATTTTTAAACCAATTCCCTATTGTCAATTGTATTATGTCCACTTTTTGTTATTATAAATAATGTTTTAGGGCCAGCAGGTATGTGGCATTGAGTGCTAACTTGGCCAACTGTGGTTTGAGTCCCGGACCTGGCTGCTTGTTTTCTTAGACTTGAACCACAGTCAGCCATGTGGGGGAGTCCAGTGCCTTAATCATCATGTGACCTGTTGGCCCTTAAACAAGTATAATTAATACACTTCAGACACTAATGGAAAAAGTGAACAACATGCAAGAAGTAGTTAAGGGCGCTGGACTCCCACATGGCCGACTGCAATTTGAGTCCCTGACCTGGTGGCTTGCTTTCTCACCTTTTCTCTCTCTGTCTCTCTCCTCTCTTGCTCTCTCTCTCACTCTCTCTCTCTCTCTCTCCTTCTCTGGTCAAATTAAAACAAATACAGTTAAATAAAAATAATTCTTAAAAAAGGAATGGATTGTAATGTAAGCAAAGAGAGTGAAATTCTAAAAGGAATCAAAAGGAAATTTTATAAATTAAAAGGACTATAACAGAAATGAAGGGTGATGGGTTCATTAATAGACTAGACTGAGCACAGAAAACAACCAGTGAGCTTGAAGGGATGTCAATAGAAACTTCCAAAGGTGAAATGCAAAGATTAAAACTAATTGAAAAGATGAAAAAGAATGTCCAAAAATTAAAAGATGAAAAAAAGCATAACATATTCGTAATGAGAATACTAGAAGGAAAAGAAAGAGAGAAAGAAACAGAAGTGTATGAAGTAATACTAGCTAAGAGTTTTCCAAGATTAGGGCCAGCAGACGGAACGGTAGTTAAGGTGCTGGACTCCCATATGGCCAACCAAGTGGGTTGAATTCTGAACCACTTTCCCTCTCTGTCTGTCTGTCTGTCTCTGGCCAAATTAGAAAATACCACTAATAATTAAAATTAAAATAATTCTTTAAAACAAAAGAATTTTCGGGACCAGCAGTTAGCGTACTGGCTATGTTGCTGGACTCCCATGTAGTTGACTGTGGTTCGCGTCCCGATCCGGTGGCTTAAACTCACGCTGGGCGCGTGTATGTGCATGAAGATCCCGAGAGGAGAAGGGGTGGTGGCGTGGCCATCCTCCCTGGGGGTGATTTCTCGCTTTCTGTCTCTCTGTCTCTCTCTGTCTGTCTGGCGAGTGCATGCACGCTGTAGCAAAAAAATCCCCTCCCCCCCTCCAAAAAAAAATAATTTTCCAAGATTAGTGACAGACACCATGCCACAGATCCAGGAAGCTCAAAACCATATTTAAACTGCAGAAGATCAAAGACAAATAGGGAACCAGCAGTTAGCGTAATGGCTATGTCGCTGGACTCCCATGTAGTCGACTGCGGTTTGTGTCCCAGACCTGGTGACTTAAACTCACACCGGGCGTGTGTGCGTGCATGCCCAAGATCCCGAGAGGAGAATGGAGGAGAAGGGATTGTGGTGTGACCATCCCCTCTGGGGGGTGATTTCTTGCTTTCTGTCTCTACGTCTCTCTCTGTCTGGCGAGCGCACGCGCCCTATAGCGAAAAAAAACTCTCAAAAAAAAAAAAAAAAAAAAAGACAAATAGGAAATCTTGAAAGAAGCCAGAGGAAAAAAATGCCTTACCTGCTACGGAGTAGTAAAGATAAGAATTACGTGAGACTTCTCAGAAAACATGCAAGCAAGGAGAGTGGACTACAATATCTAGTGTTGAGAGGAAAAAAAGAGAAAAATACAGCCATTTAGAACTAGGTGCTCTGGGGACCAGCAGGTAGTATGGTGGTTAAGGCGCTGGACACTCCCGTATGGCTGGATACAGTTCGAATCCCAGACCTGGTGGCTTGCTTTCTCACTTTCCCTGTCTCTCTCTATTTCTCTCTCTCTCTCTCTCTCTGTGTGTGTGTGTGGTCAAATAAAAATAAATGAATGAATAAATAAAATAAAATGAATGATTATTTTTAAAAATAATAATAAAAATTTTTATTATTATTGAAATCTGAAAAATTATCCTTCAAAAGTGAAGAAGAAATGAAGCCTTTCTCAAGCAAAAATTGAGGGAATTTGTTGCTAGTAAGAAGAAAATTTACAGATCAGGACCAGACGTGGCTCAGCGGTGAAACACCAAGCTGCAGAGTGACCTACACAGTAAGGTTCCGGGTTCATGGCCACGGACCTTCCATTCCGAAACACAGGACTCTTGTCAGGCTGGTAGAGAACTAGCTAACCATGAGCTATCTCTGAAGTTACTGAAGCCCAGCAGAGGATCTTGTCATCCCCCAACCCAAACTTTTGACCTTTCGATACATGTATGGCTATTTCTAGAAGACATAGATTTATAGGATAAACTTTGTATAAGATTTTGGTTTCAGAAGAAGAATATAAGCTTACCTTGTTATTTTTGATTAAGGTTTATTTTGTGGTTTGATTTGTTTCCTATTACGTTTTGATTCTGAAATCACTTTATGCTATATTCGTTTCTAAAATTACTAAATTAGGGGGCCAGCAGGTGGTGTGGTGGTTGAGGTGCTGAACTACCACATGGCTGACTACAGCTCAAGTCCTGGACCTGGCAGCTTGCTTTCTCACCCTCTGTCTGTCTTTCCCTTTGGTGAGCACACATGCCTTGTAGTGGGTTGAGAAATCATAATAATAAATAAAATTTGAAAAGTAATTCTAAAAATATACATATTACTAAGTTATATATCTATCTTCCATAAGTACTGATCTCTCTAATGGCCTTGAGTCCACTACAGGCAAGCTTAGGAGTTATAGTGTGAGATAAGTAACGTCTTAGGGAGAGTGTGCACTTCCCAGCCAACCAAGTTCTATCTTGATTCTCCAAAGATAGATGACAAATGAAAAGCTAAAAATAAAAGCCTGATCTCATTCCATTCGAATTAGACTATTCTATTTTGAGAATGTCTGACCAAATCCATCGCTTATATTCCTGTTAGAAGGCTGTAATAAAAATGAAATGTAAATATATTGACGGCAATAAAGTGGGATATAAATATACTATTTATATAATGTAATAGTAACAGATGAGTAGAAAACAGAACAAAAAGTACAGGGTAGCTAAATATCTTGCCCATATCCCAATGCTTTTTTTGCAAGGACCAAACACAGCTAGTACAAATTACAGTGCAGAAGCTGATACATAATTGAAACGAATTATATCATTCTGAAAATATTTTATTTCGATATGCTAAAATAGCCTTTATCTGAAACATTAATCTATAATACTTCTTTATCAAACTACACACACACACACACACACACACACACACACACACACACAGATGTGCTAGGTGTCTGAACTTGGACCAAAGCACATAATGTAACTCCTGGTTTTCTTATTTTTTCACTTATAACACAAGGGAAGTCACATGATAATCTGAAATGCCTCTAAAGCTCTAAAACTGATGATCCCCACGGAGACCTACGGAATACAGTGTTGGTTTAGGTCGAGTATCCTCCTCCATCATGGGAGCAGGAGCAGGGCAGCTAACAAGAGTTAGCTGTGTGTTCCAGATTCAGACTGTCTGGCTTAAGTCTCAGCTCTGCTGTGCCTGTGGTGTGTGAACCCACTGCAACTCACTTAGCTTCTTTGGGCCTCAGTTTCTCTGTCTGTAAGATAGGTAAAAACTAGCATTTACGTCATGTAAGTGGTTGTGGTGAAAAAAATATATAATCTACAAAAGTATTTTGCAGGCCAGCAGGTGGCATGGTGGTTAAGAAGCTGGGTTTCCACATGGCCAGCTGCAGTTCAAGTCCTGGACCTGGTGACTTGAAGACAGTACCAGGTACAAGTGCATATGTGCTCCAAATCCTGAGAGAAGAAGGGAAGAGAAGAAACTGTGATGTGACCATCCCTTCTAGGGGATGATTTCTCACTTTACCTCTCTCTCTTTCTCCGGTGAACTTATGTGCCCTATGGCAAAAAAAACTAACTAACTAAAAAAAAATTAGAAAATAAAAGACAAAATTGAAAATTTCTGTAAAGAACTAGAACAAAAAAAATAAAATTATATGGAAATCTAGTACTGAAAAATTCTAAAATTAAGAATTTAATAGATAGGTTTAATAGTAGCTTAGACTCAGGTGAAGACAGAATTAATGATCTGGAAAAGGACCAGGAAGAAACATCCAGATTGAAGCACAGAGAAAGAAAAATAATGGACAATGGAGAAAGGAGCATACAGACACATAGGGCATGCTTTTTTATTTTTAATTTTTAAAAAATTTTGCTATAGAGCACAAACACTCGCTGGAGACAAACAAAGAAAAAGAGAAAGTGAGAAATCATTCCCTCCTCAGGGGGACGACTGCATCACAAGCCCTTCTCTTCTCTTCTCCTCTGCAGTTTCGGGCACGCACATGTGCCTGGCATGATTTTCAAGTCGTCAGGTCTGAGACTTGAACCATGCAGTCACCCATAAGAGATTCCGTGCCTTAGCCTCCATGCCACCTGCTGGCGCCTGGAGTTAATTTTTAAGAGTGTGATCAGAGGCCAACAAGTTTGAATTGGAGTACAAAATCTCAAGAGATGAGCTGTGTCTTGTTTATTGTTATAGCCACACTGTTAACACACTGCCTTGCAGCTGGCGCCCATGAAGTGCGTATTTGCTAGACGAACTGCTGCCAAAGCACGTATCCAAAAGTGCCGTGGACAGACAGCTGACGCCTGCAGGGTTCTGCGCACCACCATATAAGATCAAGTGTGGAATTTTCTACTTGTGCTGTCAGGTTAGTGAGAAGAAGGTCTCAAATGTTGGAGTACTTCGAATTTCAAAATTTCACATTAGGAATGCTCATCTCATACGCAATTTCCATTTAAATAGTATAGGTGGAAAAATGAGTAGTTTTTC